CCTGTGCACAGGGTAGGACGATGTCACCCGTGCACAGGGTAGGACGATGCCCCTTGCACACAGGGTAGGGCGATGTCACCTGTGCACAGGGTAGGGCGATGTCACCCGTGCACAGGGTAGGGCGATGTCACCCATGCACAGGGTAGGATGATGTCACTGAAGGTACCACAGTCACGAGTCTGCTCTGAGTCACAGTGACCCTGGAGAGCAGAGCAGATGTGCCCCCGGGGTTCTGTGGCTGTCGTCTTTCTGGGAGCAGAAAGGCTCTTCTTCCCCCATCGGAGTCGCTGACAGGTTCCTACTGCTGACCTCGTGGTTAGCAGCCCGGTGTGTAACCAACCACGCCACTGTGATAAGGTAACGGTGACTCTCTGCCCCAAACGATGACTCAGGTGCACCTGGCCAACCCATCTCTGCCATCATCCATGCATGTGAAGGTTAGTTAGGCAACGAGAAAAGAAGACAGAGTGGAATCGGGGCATTTGAATTGTGGTGTTGGTGAAGGGTACTGAATGGAGGGTAGGCCTTTGGAAGAGCCCTGGTGGAGCTGTGTTGCCTTCTACTGGCCAGACTGCTAAGCGCAAAACCAGTGGCTCAATCCCACCAGCAGCTTCTCAGGAACAATATGAGGCCCTCTGTGCCCAGAAAGACTGCCAGCACAGAGCCTCGGAAACCCTCGGCGTGCTTGGACTCTGTCCCCTCGGGTCACCATGGGCTTGGGGCTAGAAGAACAAACTGCTGTGGGAAGAGTACTACCTAGGTGCTCAGGAGCTGTGAGGGTGACGAGGCTCGGACGCGTCCCCAGGAAAGGCCAACCACGAGAGGAAGGCATCGTTTAGGAAAATAGGAGGTCAGCAAAAAAGGGGGCACTGACAACACCCCAGCGCTCATGTGACCACAGGACCCTCCTGTCTGCAGGTGCAAGCTTCCCCTGAGAGCGAGGCGCCCTCCCCACCCAGCGCACGGGCCTCGCAGGGTGGGCAGACTCACCCACAAAGAGCTGGCTGTTGAGCTGCAGCAGCATGTGGCCATCGGCGGGCGCGGCCCGGGCCGTGGGGGGCAGCAGGTCCACCTGCAGGGACGCCTCCTTGGTGTTCCTCTGCGCGCGCACGCGGTGCCAGCGGTTGTCGTTGAGGGGCCCGGGGGCTCGCACTGAGAGCTCGCAGGGTCCATTCCCCACGTCGAACGAGAAGGCCACCTCCGTGGGGGCTGTGGCACCGGACATGGACGTTACCCCGAGAGGGCCGGCCGTGGCCATGCGTGGGCAGCAGGCCCCCAGCAGAGACCATGCTGGTGGAGACCCCCTCCCGTGGGTGCAATGATTGACGTGGCCCTCCGACTTGGGGAACTCACCGCGCAGCTCCAGGCTGATGAAGTCGGTGATGCCCAGGTTCTCCAGAAAGACCCCTGAGGGGGCTGTGGTCTTAAAGAAGAAGGAGATGTCCCCACTGAGCTCCCCTTGGAAGGCGGGGAAGTGCAGGTAGGAGGTCTCGGTGTGGAAGGACACGGAGTTCCAGAAGGACCCTTATTGAGGGGAAGAAGGGAGAGAGGGTCAAAAGCAAATTCAGGACCCGGTGGGAGTCAGGCTGTCACACACCGTCTGCCCTCAGCAGATCCCTTCTTCCTTCCGACCCAGCCCGGGACTCTGCTCCCCTGGCTGCCTGTCTGAAAGGAGTTGGAGCCCTGGCGCAGCAGCAGTGAAGTGCCTGGCAGCTAACTCACCCGTGGGCTTCAACCCCACCCCTGCTCCTTGGTAGAGAAGACTTGGGGCTCTGTTGCTGCGGGAAGCAGCCGAGGAACCAAACGGAGAAGCGCACTCTGCCCCATGCAGTTGCTACCAGTCAAATCGACCCCACGGAAGCCCACCACTGCCACCCCCTTGAAGCCAGCAGCCCGAGTCTGAGGGCAAAGCCACGCCGATCCCTCGGAGGCAGCTGTGCTGTGCTCCGAGGGTCACAAGGCAGTTTGTTCTTCATTTGTCATGTTAAGACCCTATGTGATGTTGTGTTGACAGAGAGGAAACCTGCAGAACCCGAGAGCTGTCCCCACACCCGTCTAGAAGCCCTTGTCTGTGGGCACTGGGTCCTCAGGGAGGTGCTCTCCGACCTCAGCCTGGGCCAGGGCTCTTGGGATGCCAGACCCATCAGGAGGCGTTAGTTCCGGGTCTCCACATGCCCTTGTGAGCGCATCCTTCCACGCCAACCTATCCCCATGCTGCTTACAAAAGGGGCTCCTCAGAAGCCACACACGCCATTCTTGTTGCCCCGGGGGTGGTTTCCCATTGGTCGAAAACAGCACAGGATCAGTGCTCAATGCAGGTAAAGGCACGTGCTCAGGTGAGCCAGAGGCACGTTCTTTCACAGTCACAATGAATATAGAGCAGGGCCGGGCTGGGCGGTGCTACTTGTTGTGCTACCCAGGGTCACTGGGAGTCAGAACCGAGCCAGCGCTCCAACAACCCCAACAACAGTCAGGAGAACGTGAGACCCATTCAGAATGGAGGCTCCAATGAACACCGGGTCCACAGGGTGCTGGGCACCGACAGGCCACAGAAACCAAGACTTGGCCCTCTGCATTCCTCTGGTAGTTCATGGTCTATTGAATAGTGTGTCGGTCTTGGTGCACTAGAGAGACTCCAGCTCTAGGGCTCTGGCTGGGATCAGCATAACTTCATGTGACTTGAGAGTGTGTGTCCTGCCTCCAGGGAGGAAGACAGGAGTGCCCAGAATCCCCAGGAGAAGGCCACGCCCACACAGAGGCTTCATTGGCTATAACCTGATTGACAGGCTAGACTCCACCCTTTCCTCAAGCTGATAGTAGATTTTGTAACTGCCACAAATAGTCTTTGCCAATACTAGAATTCAAGGCATTGATTCTTTGATTGTCCTTATTCGGTGTCCAGTTTCTACACACACATGAGACAATGGAAAAGATCATGGTTTGGGTCAGGGTCACCTTAGTCAAAGGACAACTTCACTTTGTAACAGTTAAAAGAGCTCATGAACCTGATTTTCCTAATGCAATACTTAATTTGATTTCATGACTGATAAATCCATGGACATTAATTATGGATCTGTGGTAGTTTTGCAATCTGACAATTTGAGAGGATTGAGAGTGAAGGGGTGAAGTTTAGCCTGTCAATCAGGTCCCAGCTTGATGACCTCATTTGGAGGCACAAAGGAGATAAAGGAGATATGGCTCACTGGAGGCAGGATGTAGGTTCACTTCCTGGGAGACATTATGGATGAAGCGCCTGATGGAGCTGCACTGATGCAGCCAGAGCTCTGGAGCCAGAGGAGCCACATGGAAACCACTGTCAGCGCTGAGATGCTTACAATGCCACTGGAGCCACAAGACTTCCCACCCGCTGGCCTGCAATCCTCCTGCATTCGGCATCATTGCATGTGTTTTGTGAGTCTGAAGAGGACTTTACAGATTGGTATCGGACATATGGGCTATTATTGGACTTATGGACTTGATCTGGACTGGGCTGGGAAGTTTTCTTAATGTACAATTGCTCTTGTATATAAAACTCTTTCTTATACACATGTGAGTGTCTCTGGATTTGTTTCTCTCATCCACCCGGACTGACACAGGACCCAGGTTAGAAGAAACTCTTGGCAACATCAATAGCTCCTGCATTGATCATAGCAGATCTTGGTCCAGTCGTGAGAGCTTCTCTCTTCTTAATGTTGAGGTCTGATCCATTCCGAAGGACACAGTGTTTGATCTTCATCAGTATGTGCTTCGAGTCCTCATCAGTTTTAGCACACAAGGTTGTGTCACTTGCATATCTCAGATTGTTGACGAGTCTCCCTCCAACCCTGATGCTCTGTCTTCTTCAAATAGTCTGACTTATTGGATGATTCCTTCAGCATACAGATTTAGTATGATGAAGGGATGTAGCCCTGACATACACACTTTTCCTGTTTTAATAGACACACTGGTTTCTTTTTCAAACAGTTGTCCTGTGGACTATGCACACATTCCACATTAGCTCAATTAAGTGCTTCGGACTTTCCCTTCATTGCAATGTGAGCCATCATTTGTTATGATCCAAAGAGTGACCACAGTCAGTGCAGCATAGGTAAATGTTTCTGGTAGTCTCTGCTTTCTGCCAAGATCCATCTGACTCCAGCAAAGATATCCCTTGTGCCATGTCCTCTTCTGAGTTTGGGTTGAGTTTCTAGCAGCTTCCCATTGATGCACTGCTGCAACCATATCTGGTTGATCTTCAGTATGGTGGTGACATAATCTGGTGTCAACTTGAGACCGCCTAAAGTGAAGGGGCGGAACTTAGCCCGTCAATCAGGGCTCAGCGTGATGACCTCATTTGGAGGCACTACGGAGATAAATAGCTCACTGGAGGCCAGACCCACATGCACTCTCTGCTGGACATTCCTGTTGACAAGTCACATGGAGCTATGCCACTAGAGCCAGAGCCCTGGAGCGGAGGAGTCACACGGAGACCCATGCTCATGCTGAGACGCTTCCACCGCCACTGGATCCACAAGACTTTCCACCCACTGGCCTGTGATCTTCTTGCATCCAGCATCATTGCATGGCTGCGTGACTCTAAAGAGGAATTTATGAACTTGTATCCACATTTGGGGTAATATCAGATGTATGGACTTGATCTGGATTGGGCTGAGATGTTTTCTTAAGGTACAATTGAGATAAAGTTCTCTCTTACACATATGAGTGTCAATGAATTTGTTTCTCTAGTCCACCCAGACTCACACATTCAGCAACATTTGACCTGTGTGTGAGGTTCATGCTATTGTTCGACAATCTCCACCCTCTGCTGGGCCACCTTTCTGTGGAGTGGACTCCTGCAGTCAGCTGGCATGCATGAGTGAGTGCTTCCACGCTTCCTCGGCTTATTGGAACATTTCTACCAATTCCTAGAGCCTTCTTTTTAGCCAATTCCTTTATGGCATTTTGACTTCTTTCAGTACGATTGGCTCTTTATCTGATGCTACCTCCTGAAATGTTAAGCAATGGTTTTTGATCGTGATTTTGTGTATGCCTTCCACATTCTTTTGATGCTTCCTGCATAGTTCAGTATTTTGCCCATAGAATCTTTCAATATTTCAACTTGCAGCCTGAATTCTTTAATCCTTTCTGCTTGAGAAATGCTGACCGTGTCCTTCCCGTTTGGTTTTCAGAAGTTGCACACTTCTTGATAAGCCAGCACGTTCTTCCCGTAGAACCCTGCACTCTGTCTGCTCTAGCTGCTCGGTGGTTTCTTTCATCCGCTCTTCTAATTCATCTTTTGGGTTTCCTTTCCCTTTAGCTACTGTGCATTCAGAGAGAGGCGCAGCACCTCCTGCGACATCTATTTCGCTCTTTTCTCCCTTCCTGTCTTTTCGGTGACCTTTCACTGTCTCCATGTGTGATGTTGTCTAGGGCTGGGGCGTGGGGCTCAAGGCATCAACTCTGTTCTTGAGACGGCTCCCAAATTTCAGGAGGGTGTGCTCCAGGTCATACTGGGGCCTCGCAGAGTTGTTGCCAGTTTCTCGGGCTTTCAGTTTTCCCCTGGGGTGTAACTAAACAAAGATGTGTGGGTGTCTCTCAGTGTCCTCTGGGCAGCCGAGTCTGTGCTGAGTCACAGGCAGCACCACCACATTAGAAGGGGCAAGGCCACACACTCAGGAGGAAGGATTCCCTGGAGCTACTCCTGGCAGAACCAGTGCCAAAGGATCCTGAGAGAAAACTCAGATTAAACCAACATGAAATATCAAACCACAGCGACTCCCCCAAAGCTGGTTGACCAGGCCCCAGGAATGCTTGAATTGCTTACAATTCCAATGAGAAAAAAATATTTCCAAGGTACCATATATACTCGGGTAGAAGCCGGCCCAAAATTTTCAAACTAAAATTTTGAGATTTTAGCTTGAAAATTCCAGGTTGGTTTCTACTCGGGCACATGTGGCGTATCTTTCAGCTCATTTCCATTCGCCCAGGAGGAAGTTCAGGTGTGGTTCAATCGAGGATTAGGATCTGCTTCCCAGGGCAGCCTCTGTTCAGAGAGAGAACATCCCTGGGTGAGGTTCACCATTTACTGCCCCTCTCTGTTGAAGTCTTCTGACCAATATCTATTTATCAGCAGCCTTTACTAATTCTTGGACTCAGAGAAACTAAAGTAATCAGGTATGAATCGAGTAGGGTCCATTTAATAGTATTTATTAAGGAAAAACAAAATATATTCACGCCCCACACTGGCATTGGGCAATGGCGGGCAAACTAAAACAAAGCCACACCCTCTGCTTCTTCTCCTTTGGCAGCTCCTGGAGTGCAGGCAGCGGGAGAGTCCAGGGTAACTGAGTGACACTCTCAACTCAGGGGTGGGAACCTAGACTGTGTATGGACGTTGTCTATGCAAAGAGTTCGCCCAAAGCAAAAAGAGAACCACAGAAGGGGGACATTGGCAGTGCCACATTGAATAAGGGATTCATCTCTACAGTTGGTAGAAGCTTCAACACCTCAACAACAAAAAAGACGAATAATCCAACTTAAAAAGC